TTTACACTTTTTCTGCTGGGATTATTTCTCTTTGAGAAGTGCTTTCTTAGTAAGTAGTTATAAATTAGCATGAGTTTGGCATAATATTATTGATTTATGTTTAAGATGATGGTTAAGATGATTAAGCAGATGGTTACCGATTTTCTTGAAACATCCTACATAAGCAGACCTTCATCCTGCAAACTTTAAGCAATGATAACGTGTTTGCCATTGGTTTCTACTTTCATTTTTACGTGCCTAAAACGTTGGAAAAAATGAGTCTTTAATCCTCGATAAAGCTTGTAAAGGGACAACATATGTATGAATTATTAGTCTTATGATGGAAAAAATTACTACAATTCGAATGAAAAAAAAAAAAACAAAACAAAATCGCCTAATTAGGGATACACTTAAATACTTGGAATTAAGAAACATTCATATTGTTTAAAATTTTTCGGTCTCATTCTTTATTTCGTGATGGTTAATATATCAAAAGATTTAAAACACTTAGAAACCCCTTAAAAGCTGTAAGACATTTTATAATTTGCTCACTTAGTGTCATTGTTATCTTGGCAACATAGCTTATCTCCATGATTTTAGCATTAAAACAATGAATAATACCAAATTGAAACGACATTTTAATTATAAATTTATAATTAACCATTCAAAATATGGGGATTCTTGTTATGACATGCAATGTCGCCTGTGTATATATCGTCGCCGGTGACATTATGTGCAAAATTGCACTGTCACCCAAGAAAAAAATATAAGTATACTTGCACACATTGTCGTCGAAGACGAAGAGTGCAGACCCTTACCACGCATATTGTCGTCTTTATCTTCAGAGTTTACATGATAATTCTAAATGAAAACATTTTTTAAAAAATCAGTGATTGGTTGATTGCAACTCCCAAGTTCAACTAAAAGAAGTTAGTACAAGTCTGAATTTTAGAATCGTTTTCATTTTTGTTAAAGATAAAATCTCAGAATTGGGCATAGTGTGTATACATTTTGATTAAAAACAAAGATGAAATGATAAATACTGTAGTTTGCATCTAACGGTTCAACCGATGATTCTTAATCTGAATAAATTAAATATATCCTTTTGCTGGTAACACATTTAGAATGTTTATTTACTTTTCAGGTACACAACTAAATATATGTCTATTGAAATAAAATGAATATATTCTGATTATCTCTCACATATATCTTGATAAGACCAATTTTTCACAGCAAAATTCAAAGCATCTAGCAATGTTGCTAAAGCAAACCATGTAACTTTAAAAGAGGCTGGAGGTCCAAACAAAAATTCTCCGAAAATGGCAGAAATGCTTGATAAAATCATTATTTAGTTACAATTGAGAATAATTTAATTCTTGTTGTAACGCGTCATTTGATTGGAATAAAAAGTAATTAAATTATATCGCATAACCTGTGTTGCCTACGTCACAACGAATTCCGACAAAAACGTATCAATCCGCTTGACATTACTTTTAAAACGTGTACAATTTGAAGGCATTTTTGACGAAGAAATTGTCTTATTAGCTGTACTTAATGATGGGAAATTAAATTATAAGGAATAAATTTAATAGGTACCCAAGTTATACTGGTATAACGGCCTCACGGCTTATAAAGCATAAACTGCTCCAACCCAGGTTATACAGTATAACTTGGGTGGCTATTAAATTAATTCCTTAAGAAAAAGGCCACATTACAATCAACCTTAATTTTAAAATTATTGCATCTTATATATTGCACATCATGTCAACATTAAAACATAACAAAACAACACAAAACACAAATAAAGAGCGAAAAGAGGCAAAAAATAACAATAACATGAGATGAAAGAAACACAATAACAACAAAAACGTTAAATAAATATCACGATTAGTTTAAAATATATACTCCATGCCACATATATGCTATAATTCATTTGTTTTTTTTTTAAGTAATCATAAAATATTTTTTAACTTATAGAACAATAATAATCAATAAATGTATGAGTAAAATTAAGCATAAGAAACAGGAAAATTACAGGTGAATTTTTAGAAAAAGAAAAAAAAAATCAACAAAATAATTTTGGTATATTACTTGTTACATCCTTTTGCAAATCCGGAACAGGTGTCAGAATTTTTTTTTTTAATTTACATCTTCAGTTGTTTCCCTAAGCTTACCATTTATTTGTTCTTTAATAATATTTCAATATCCTAATAACAATTCTTTAGAACAAATGACATTTTCAAATGATAAAAACAGAGAAAAGAACCAGCAATTTTCTCAGCTATAAATTCAGACAAAACTTCAGAAAAACTTCAGACAAAAACTCTCTTGCGAATTAATTTTAGAGAGTTTAAAATTCTGAATTTTCTATACTTTAAAGCTCCGAAGACTTAAGACTAGTGATGATTGGGAGTAAATTAAAGAATGCAAATTATACAACATTCAATTTAAAAACTGTCACAAAATCATAAAGAAGCAAGATTTATGGGGGACTATTTCTTGTGAGGGAAGGATATTTAGAAGAAAATTCTTCAAATTTACATATTTGTTAAATTTAATATCATGGAACTTTAGGCCTACATATTTTTACTCGGAGCATTTTTTCCGTTATTATATGCTAGGAATATTAAATTTAGGGTCACGCTAACATTTTTAAAACAAATTTTACACATTCACTCAACAGATTTTGCCAAAAATGAAGATATATTGAAGAAGTCAAGAAAAAATTTACACTATTCGAATATTTTGACCAATATGTCAAAATTTACATCACTGTCCCCATCTTTTCTTTCATTATTTTAAACCACACGATTCTCCCAACGGATCAGCACTAACGTCATAAGAAGCTTAATACAAGAAAATATCTCATTGTCTTTTTAGATTTTTAATACTCCAAATATGATACTTTTTTAGTACAAGAAGGTCACACAATAATTTATGCGCATTGATTTGTATGATTTGTTCAACGATAAATATTATTCAAACTATTTTACGTAAAATAAGATTATAATTATTGCCATAATTACATGTGGTAAAATATAATGAAGATTAGAGTGATTAACCCAAGAGTTACAATTTAAGTGCAAAAAGGTCAAGTTCATTGTACCGTTGTTCAATATGATGCACACTGACCCCCAATTTTCTTTGCAATTTTAAGTCATGCTATAGGAGTACTTATCTAAAATATATTTCTCAAAAAACCTTGGTATAAGTAATTTCACAAGTGACATACCTTAATGATTAAAGTTGTAGGTTAAGGACCGTGGTGTCAGAGTAATAGCGAGCGCAGCGAGCGGCGCGAAGAGCCGCTCGACATTAATTACGATCTCTTAAAACAAGGCATGGGCGAAGAGAAAATTCGGACTTTGCACATGATCCAAATGATTTTTCCGCAGTTTCCTCTGGAACCACAATGCAACGCGAATGCATCTGTCTGCTACATGCAACTACGTTCTCGCAGTAAATCAAAAGTTCACATCAATAATATACTGACATTGATTTAGTGGATATTGCAGATAAATAGTATATTAAAAGTTCTTTGTAAAAAGTTGCCTTTTCAAGACCCTTAATGCAATAAATATGCAACTTTCCAAATGTCTCTTACGGACTGAAAAGGCGGATCTAAGTTAAAACTGAACAGGTATCCAGATATACACGTCTGCTCTCGCCCTAACGGACGCACCGTCAACATATTAGATTAAAATTCAAGGGGTTAGAAATTACAGGGAGATAACTCAGAAGTAATGAACACAGTATCAATTAAAGAAAGATAATTTAGAGGTTAATATATATATATATATATATATATATATATATATATATATATATATATATATATATATATATATATATATATATATATATATATATATATATATATATATATATATATATATATATATATATATATATGTATGTATGTATGTATGTATGTATGTATGTATGTATATTTTATATATTTATATATATATATATATATATATATATATATATATATATATATATATATATATATATATATATATATATATATATATATATATATATATATATATATATATATATATATATATATATATATATAATTTTGAAGGAGATCACAAATAGAAAAGCACCTTAGGTGACTTTGTAGATTATTGAAGGACTATTTTATCAGTCGCCATTATTTTTGCTGCTGTCTGATTGTAACTGACATGCAAACCAGGATATCCATCATCCAAACTAAAACTTTTTATATCATCTACATGATTTATTTCATCCGTCTTTAGATTTAATGGTTGAATATTTTCTGATATTCGGTATGATGTGCTGCAACGGCTGTATAAGGCATTTGTTAACTGCAACTTTTGTTAAATTGTATCTTTTTCAAAAAAAAAAAAAAAAATAAATAAATAAATAAATAAATAATAAAAAAAAAATAATAATATGAGGATGGGTAAAATAATTATACAGTGAAATCAATTGTGTGGTCAATGTTTCTTGAGGGAAGCATTTTTTTTTAGTTCGTAGGGCCGTAATTTCGTGGGTAAGTCGCTTTCACAAAGAATTCAATGAATTATTAATGTTGACAAAATAATTGTTCACAGGGGAATAAATTCTTGGGCTGAAGTGACCTACGAAATCCGCGAACAACTAGCAATCCCCAACAAGCAATAATGGTTCCACAGTTTTTATTGCAAGCCATTCTATTTAACAGTTTCTCTTCATAAAACAAAACTTTAAAAAATCATATTTTTTTTTTAATTGAGAAAGCTAATTTTACTTTCCTTGATTAGTTTCCCTATATATCATTGTTCAAGTTGATAAGCAAATGTTGATCCTTTATCTAAAAGCAGGTATTTTGATAGCAAAATTATTTAATCAGTTTTCCCTATTTTCCCTCTTGACCATAATTTGAACTTACCACATTTTCTACGAGATTGAAAAAAATGCCTAGTGAATCTCGGTATCGATTTATGCAGACTATGATATGCAGAGATTTTCTTTTATTTTTGAACATCTTTTTTTTTAGAGCTTTCAGGATGAGCAGTAAACCCTGCAACAATTTTAGGACATTCTTGTCCATGAAACCCCAGAATGAGGGTAAGTTGTTTACACCTGAATACATGTACTTCATAAATCCTTTTGAAACTTCCAAGCATCTTTATGGAAATGTTTGCTGGATGGTAAAGTTGTGTGTTATTTAACAAAATGTGTAATTTTCGGCTTAGAACTTAAGTCCCAAAATGGAGTTCAGTTTATTCCGTTAATTAAAAAAATGTTTTTTTAATTTACTGTATATCGGAAAGTCAACGTATTGCCTCAAAAAAGGAATTTATTGTTTATTAAAAAAGTTTCGTCACAAAGATCCACAGAATCAGTTTCAGTCTTGACTGAGTCGGTCAGAGAGTGTAAAATTCTTGTTACTCAAGTGGACCTCGTGTTATACCATACTTTTAAAAAATAAGTAATGATTCACTCTTCAAATGAAATTTAAAAAAAATTAAAAGTGTTTATAAAAGACATTTTTTTTTTATGTGAAGTCAATTGCTGTAAAAAGTGATTGTTTCTGAATTATTGAAGAACAGTTTTTAGGTCACCTGAGTCACTCAGGTGACCTATTGCTATCCATTTTCGTTCGTCGGCCTGCGTTGTGTGTTAACATTTGAATATTTTTGGCTTCTTCTCTGAAACCGCTTAACCAATATTAATTTCAACCAAATTTGGTATATAGCATCTATTGGTGAAGGTGAACAAAAATTGTGAATTTCATGGTCCCTGCCAACCTTGCCGTCTGAGGGGTGGGGCTAAAAGCACCAAAATTAATGCAATATTTAAAAATCTTCTTCTTTACTCCTGGACATCAAGTAGTCAAACTGTTATGATGATTATAATAAGAATTAAGTCCTCTACCAAATTGTGAAATTCATGGCCCCAGGATCAGGGGCTCTGGTGCTAGGGTGGGGCTATATAAATCATATAGTGAAAGTGCATTATTTCTTTGAAAATCTTCTTCTCTGCTCCTGGGTATTAAATAAACTAACCAAGTACATAGTTATGAAGAGCAAGAATGCCTCTTCCAAAATTGTGAAATTCATGGCCCCAGGGTCAGGGGTTCTAGTGTTTGGGCGGGGCTCTATTGATTATATAGTGAAAATGCATTAATTCTTTGAAAATCTTCTGCTTTGCTCCTGGCTATTAAATAAAGTATCTAAGTACATAGTTATGATAAGCAAGAGTGCCTCTTCCAAAATTGTGAATTTCATGGCCCCAGGGTCATAGGGGTTCTAGTGTTAGGGTGGGCTCTATTGATTATATAGTGAAAATGCATTAATTCTTTGAAAATTTTCTTCTCTGCTCCTGGGTATTAAATAAAGTAACTAAGTACATAGTTATGATGAGTAAGAGTGCCTCTTCCAACATTTTGAAATTCATGGCCCCAGGGTCAGGGGTTCTGGTGTTATCGCGGGGTTCTATTGATTATATAGTGAAAATGCATTAATTCTTTGAAAATCCTCTTCTCTGCTCTTAGATATTTAATAAACTAACTAAGTACATAGTTATGATGAAGAAAAGTGCCTCTTCCAAAATAGTGAATTTCATGACCCCAGGGTCAGGGATTCTGGTGTTAGGGCGGGGCTCTATTGACTATATAATGAAAATGCATTAATTCTTTGAAAATCTTCTTCTCTGCTCCTGGATATTAAATAAACTAACTAAGAATATAGATATGATGAACATGGCTGCCTTTTCAGAAATTGTGAATTTTATGGCTCCTGGGTCAGGGGTTCAGGTGTTAGGGGGGACTCTATTGGTTATATAGTAAAATTGCATTAATTCTTTGAAAGTCTTCTTCTATGCTCCTGGATATCAAATAAACAAAGTACATAGTGACGATGAGTTTTGATGAGCATGGTTGCCTCTTCCAAAATTGTGAATTTCATTGTCAGGCCTGGGTCAAGGGTTCTGGTGTTAGGGCGGGGCTCTATTGATTATATGGGGAAAAGGCATAATTTTTTTTTTCAAAATCTTCTTCTCTGCTCCTGGTTATTATTCAAACAAAGGAAGTGCATGGTTATAATAAGGGAGAATGCCTCTTCCAAAATTGTGAAATTCATGTCCCCTGGGTCAGGGGTTCTGGTGGAGGGGGGGGGGGGGCTTTATTGATTATATAGTGAAAATGCATAATTTCTTTCAAAATAGTTTTTCTACTTCTAGTTATAAAGCAAAGAAACAAGTGCATAGTTTTGATGAGCAAGAGTGATTCTTCCAAAATTGTGAGTTCAAGGCCCCTGGGTCAGATGTTCTGGTGTAAGGGTGGGGCTTTATTTCTTTAATAATATAGTGAAAATGCGTTTCTAGTAAATCTTCTATGCTTCTGGGCATATTCGAGGCAAACAGAGTAGAAGTTTTAATATGCCCAAAGGTATTTTTACCAGAATTTTGAACACCTGGACCATTTAGTCAAGTGTTCTGGTCCTGGCCAGGGCTCTATTAAATTGTATTCTGCTGAGCAAAGTTATTCCCCTTCGCCATGCACCTTTGATAATTAATCACTGTAAACAATGTATTTGAAAGGTTAGTAGAATACGAGAATTATGCAAGAATATTTTTTGTATAATACAAAAAGTAGTTTCATAGTTTTAATGATCAGATAGACTTGGAAATGATAGATGAATAAAAATGAGACAAAAATAACTATTTTTTTAAAAATGTTCTTCAAAAGCTTAGAGAGGCCAATGTCAGAAGTAATCATATGGGGTTAAAAAATAGACATTTTGTTAAATAGTCTGCATGGTAATAGTGATAAATGGGGGACAGATAGATACTAGACCAATTATTTTGTTGATGATAATCATACTATTTTTCTTGTTTTTGGGCAACAAAACTTCATTTATCAGTTTATGGATCCTCTAAATTGTTGTATTGTACTCAGGCGACCGTTAAGGTCGTTGGGCCTCTTGTATTTTCATACGAATTCATTTTTTGGAGTCTTCTACATACTGGCATAGTATATAGGCTACCTTAATCTATTAAGAAATATACAAAATGTACAAAATGGCCTTAAGTCCCCTTTCCTCAAAAGCGTTATCACACGTGTTTGTTTCAAAAGTGAAATAGCAATTGGTTCTTTAAAACTTTTAGATTAAACTTCATAAGACTTTTTTATGGCAAAGAAAACAAATGAAAATTATCGATTATAGAAACTCAATTGCGAAAAAAAAATGTTTGAGGGTGTTTCTGTTTTCCCCTCATAACTTTTAATCAATAATGTATTTAGCACAAACGGGTAATATTATAAAGATCTACTCAAAAAAGCAAAGGCATCTCAGAAAAAGGTTCAAGGAAGTAGTCTCCTGAACATTTGGATTCCAAATGTGCCTTTAATTTTTTAATTAATATTCATAAAATACAACCTAACATAATGTTATTTAAAGACAGAGCACAATGGAAAGCCTTCACTGCCTTATAGCAGAATATTTTAATTGCATTGTGTCAACCATACAATACATTGTGTCACTTCTTTATGACTTTAGAATGAAAATTTATTACGTGATGTGAAGATATCTTTACATTATTTCAACTCTTTATTAAGTGAGGTTAAATGTTCATTCCGTGAATATAAAGATTGGTTCACATCATGGCGATTCAGTGCTACATTAACTCAAAAATTCCTAACTTTATGTAGATTTTCATTTATTTTATGTCAACTTACGAAAAAAGGTGAAGATAACGAACAGGATCAATCTCATGAAAACTACAAACAATACAATTCTGTGAACAGGGCGGACCCCCGAAAATTCCAGAGGTGTGATCAGGTGCCTTGGAGGAGTAAGCATAGCATTCCCTGTTGACCGGTCACACCTGCCATGAACCCTATGTTCTGATAACGTAGACGGAACATTTCGTAGTCAAAGGTCATTTAAACGACCATGCTGACTTTAAACGAGGTTGTTGAAATCCCTGTTACATCAACTTATGTGCGAGTAGCTTGCCTCGGTTTAAAAATTAATCGTGCCCAGAGCATGCTCTTGAGTAGAGAATAAGTTGGGAGACATAAACACATATGCAGGTGATAGCGGAATATTACAACATAAATAAGGAAAGTTGACAATGGAAAAGCTGAATTCATCTCGTTTGTCATACAATTTAGTTGTAAGTTGGCCTTTGTCGTATTTAGTCAGTAAAACATCCAAATATGAAACAGATGTGGCAGACTCTGCAGTGTCTTTTATTTCAAACTCTCTGGGATATATCGATTCCACATACGAATGGAAATAACTATTGTTAATTGATAAAACGTCGTCGATATATCTGAATGTTGAGTTGAAGGCCACTGAAAGTGTTTTCTTCCTCACATGTAGAAGTTTTTGAATAAATTCGCAACTCTTTACCAAATGTTTTTTTCAAAAATTCAAGAACATTTGAATATACCCATATTATATCATATTTCATTACATTATTCGAACTCGTATCTATTTGGTGTAAGTAGTTTATAGCATGATGTGAATTTATCTTTACATCAATATCATGACTTTATTATATGATGTCAGAATTTCATTACATCATGTGAAAAATGTTCACATGAGGTCCATTTTTTTTTTTACTACATTATGTCCACAATTTGCTAAATGATGGCGGAAATCTATTACATGAATTTGCCGTTAAGTTTTTGCAAATCATTATTACGTTACAGTTTTGTATCTTTACATTGTGTCAAAAGTGCATAGTCTGTTCTCCGAATATCTTATATTATTTGAACTCTGTATTTTGTGCAGTTAATATATTTTTATTTGATTACAGAAAGCTAGCTTTATGATGTTTGTTTACAGATCACTATACAGATCATACTCCTTCATTAGGTTATACCGAAAATTCCATTTGTGGTGTCGATATTATGTTACACATCTGTTACAACGCACTTTGAAAAATTACGCACTTTGAATTTTTTTTTTCAAAATGCGTTAAATTTGGAAATTTGAAAAAAAAAAAAATTCTTTCATAGTGCGTTAATATCGACCATATCAACGCACTTTGAAATATAATGTGCACGGCTTGGCCAATATTCTTGCTTTTTTGTATGATTAATAAGTATTTTAACT